TCTCCGACCTCCGATCTGTTATAAATTCATTGTCGACCTGCTGGATCAACAGAGAGGAACTGGTTTTGTCGTTTTGCAAGTAGATGTAGCAAAGGAGGAGCGACAAGGAGATGAAGTTGGTGAGAAAAGAGGAGATGGCGACTCCAGCGACGCCGAGAGAGATGTAAAATGTGAAGAAAGCTGTAAAGGGGAGATGAAGAAGGACGGAGACTAACGTGCACCACATCAAGGGCCACGTGGTGCCTTTACAGCGTAAGTAAATACGTAAAGGATGAAGGAAGCTATTAGCGAGAAGATCAGGCAAAGAGAAGGAGCAATAGAGAGATGCGACACGTATGATGTCTTGTTGCTATCGGAGGATTCGCATTAGAGGCTGGAGGTTTAGCCAGAGGAGTGAGATGGGGAGAGAAGCTAAGAGGAGGAGGAAAATAGTTCGCTTGAGTGTCAAGGTTGCGAGTGAAGGGTTTTTGGAGCCGGTGGCTTGACCGCATAATGGTTCCATACCGGTGGCTAAACCGGAGAGGACGGAGTAACCGGTGATGTTGGTGAAACCGATGGCTAAGGCTCCTCCGGCAAGCTCTAGGCTACCGAGCCGGCCCATACACACGACGGAGGTTGTTGATCCGGGTGTTCGACAATAAATTTATATGCGGAAAGGATCGGAAATTCCCGTTAATTGATGTTAACTCGGAAATGGGTTAATAATGAGCGATACTGTATATGATAGAGAGGACTGTGTGTCGAGCTCGGAAGATGTGAGATCGTTCGTCTCAAGATCGTCCGTTTCGAGATTGGATGTCGAGGTCGTTGAATCGGAGGTCGGGGCTGAGTGCCGAGGGTATTCGAGGTCGGATACTTAGTATGGAAAACTATGTATTTAATCAATCGAGCTTGATTAGGAGATTCATTCTTATTGTGTTCGAGAAGGATTGTTTCCTTGAAGTGTTCTTTTAGTTTTCTTTCTTTTTTTTTTCGAAAGAGAGATCCCCCTCTACACCCATGACAGTCCCATATTTATACTAAACATAGAAAGAAGTTAGTGCTAGGTTTTCCTCGGGATCCGAGCCGAGGTCGCTATCATCTTGCGGCTGGGCCGGGCCTCTCCTTGGGTTTGGATCGTTTTGTTGCTGGGGCCAACTCGTCGGACTCATTCCCTTAGGGCCGAGCTCGTCGCGCTTCTGTCAGCTTCTTTAGGTAGTTTAGTATGCTCATGGCGGCCACCGGAAAACTTATGTCCCAAAGTCTCTTCATCTCCTCCACCACCTTTTTTAAATTTAAATTTAAAAATGATATATTAAACAGCATAAGAAGATATTTGAAAGACTCTGGCTGAAGCAGAAGTACAATGACTGATAATAGATATTTAAGATAAAATTAAATACCTCGGACATCGTCGGGTTGTACTTGTGTTGGAGATTTATGAGACGTGAATCTTCTTCGTCCACCATTAAATATGAACTGAAGATGCCTTTTTATAAAGGTTTTTTTTTTCGTAACATGGAGTTCCTTATTGAGAAATTTTAAAAAATGTCACATGTTATATACCACTTTACAAAAATGCCACATTTTGTAACTTTTACAAAAATGCTACTTTTTTTTTATATTCCTAAATTACCCTATTTTGTAAACTAGATCTTGAGATCGA